AGCAAGGGGGGGGGGGGGAGGGGGGGGGGGGGGGGTATACAGCTGACATCATGCTTCCAAGAGTATGACTTGCTCAAAAAGGCTTGATTGAAAGAATAAACAAACCCTATGCTTTGCGTAACCTCATATGATGAAAAAAAAACTGAATAAGAATGCAAAGTAAATTCTTGCTATAACTTGTTAACTTAAGAGTGCCTAGAAAAGTATAGAAGAAATGTAACTTCTTGAGAGATAAGGACTTAAGGAGTTAGCAATAAGTGGCATAATAAAGGTGCTGGTTAGGAGATCGTAATTATTGCTACTATATTGGATGGATCGTTCATAACTACATTCAGATGCAGATGCTTAAAAGCGTTTCCATAGAACCAGCTAAGAATGAACGAAGTACATTTCTTTTTTTCTCTTCTTTTTTCTTTAGTTTTGAGAAGCTGGAGTGGAATGCTTAAGATTTGCACACATATACAGGGCATATAACCAATGACAAGAAGCAGTCTGCTTTGTTGAATCTCGATTAAATTTGAATACTGTTTTGAATCCCTATGGAATTATAGATAAAAATACAAAGATTAAAAAGAATATCACAGGATTGCAAGATCAGCCAAAACCCAAATCTAATATTGTTAGTACTAACAAAAATTGAGGGGATAACTAGAACCAATCTGTGAATCAATTACGCGATGGGTTGAAGAGGGTGAAACAAAAGATCTACATTGCTTCAGAAAAAACCATAACAGGCTAATGCATTCCACACAGACAAATTTATGCATTCGTATAAGTTTTTCACTCTGGAGAAACATCTTGTCTATTGTTCTCCTTCTCCCTTTGTGCATTTGAATTCTTATTTCCCTACTATGTTGAAGTCAAAAAAAAAAAATCCAAACCAATTTGTTCATCTTATCATTATTCTTCTTTTCTCTCTTTTTAATTGAAACCACAAAATTAGAACACAAGCATTGATCTTACTCTCATCAACGAATGACTCAATCCTTACATTCAAAACTCAAGTGATCACTACATCCTTTCACTGTACACATAAAAATCAAAATCAAAATCAAAACCCATACAAATGAAGACTTCAACAAACCGTAGCAATAATGTCAGCACTCCTCACCACTCAGCTCAATAATACCTGTCCACTCAACATGAATCAGGACCCCTCATCCCGTTCTATTCAATGATTTTGTTAGCCATGAATTGAATATCTCCATAGAATGAGATTAATAGTATCACAATGGGTATACTCCAAGAACCCCTTTTTTACCAATCGCAGACTCTTAAAAGCAAAGACCCAGAAAAAAATCATCAAAACCAAAAGGGTACTCTCCAATTTGAATTTCTAACCTAATAATAAAACCAATCAAAAGACAAAAAATCACACAAACCCATCCACAAAATATTACTCACCGGGCACCAAAAAGGGACTTTTCGAAGGGGTTTTACAGTATTCTTCATTATCAGAGCCAAACAGATCTTTGTCGTCATCATCGTTATCATTGTGACTATTATTGTAATTAGACCTCACTTCCCCATTATCTTCTTCGTCGTCCTCCTCTTCGCCGCCGCTGCCACTTCCACTTTCGCTTCCGCTGCCGCTACCACTGCCGCTGCGACCACTACTTCCACTGTGATTAGACGATGAAGAAGGTGAAGAAGAGCCTGAAGATGACGAGGATGATGAAGATGATTGGTGGGCCTGTTGTTTTTCTTCGTTTTCCTCTTGTCCTTCGTCGTTTGAATAGTCTCCATCTCCGAATAAGTCTATCTCTTGTTCCGCAAAGTCCATCTTCTTCTCCCTTTGCCCCAGATGGTAAGGATCTGACTGTAGGAGTGTGTATCTCTGGTAAAGTTTTGATCTCTGTCTGGGTCAGCGTTCCAGGTTTATACGCGAAGTTGGTGGTGTTGTATAAAAGACTGAGTCGGGAATGACTCGTTTAGATATGAATCGGCCCGAGTCAAGGGTGAGTACCAACAGTTGGAGTGATTCGAGCATAATTATTATTATTATTATTATTTTTATATGCTTTCGGCTAATTCTCAAAAATATGATAGTTATTGATACTTCATAACAAAATAACGGGTTTGTTGTTTTTTTTTTTTTTCTTCTCGAATAATTATAGAAAATCTCTTTATAATTAAGTACGTAAACATAGGTACCATTAACCCTCTCTTTGAACTTTGATTTCTTATACTAAATCTCCATCAATTAATAGTTGAAATACAAAATTGGATGTTTCTTGCAACCTATTTAGATGGAGACTGCTCAAAACGCTCTACAAATGAATCTTGGGTGGAAAATAAAAAATTATTACTCTGATATTTTGATTGCAAGTTGAGAGTTATGAATGCAACGATTGAAAATACAACGAAATTACTTATTGCTATCCTTAATTATTACATGGGGATTTCTATAAATATCCCTTGTTTTGAACCAAAAAAAAAAAAGTTTTGTTTATTTATTGGTATATACATCCACGTCATATATGAGATTAGTATGTAAAGCATGCAGGCAGAATCTACACAACGACTGCATATGGAACTAGCTAGATTTGATATCATCGCGAAGACAGATCCTTAGGCTGCACTCACTGCAGTTCAATTCAATCACGCAAGTAATTTTCTAAACTGATATAGAAGAGAGAGAGAGATTGTAACCGCAGTAATTAAAATGAAAATACACTGGGATACAAGTACAATTAATTACAAGGATCTTTTATAATATAAAATAAGCATATAGGTTTTAATAAGTTTATATAGGTTTTAATTAAGTTTATTTGACTGTATCAAATAAATTCATCTAACAGTTATCAATATTTCTCTTAAAATCATTCACATTGTACCGTAATTTCAAATACGAATTATCCCTAGTCTATAATATAAAATATGCTAGTCTTCAATAAGTTCATTCGATGGTCTCAAATATATTCATTATAACATTTTGGTTAAAAAAAGCTCATGAATTTATTTAAGATAAAACAAAAATAAGGTCGCTGCTTAACACATTTATATTGAATATAATTAATTTTAATTTTATTTATTTATTTAATTATCTCAAACTAACATGTCTTATATATATCTTGAATCAAAAATTCAAGACTAATTTTTTTTATATCGTAAGAAAATCCAATGCTAATATATTTTTTTAAATTAATAATTTTGTAATAGCTTGTACTAATTAAAAAATAATATTTTATAAATGATATTTATGGATCTTTTTTTGATAGAAAATATTTGGTGATATGATTTTTGATAAATTAAATTTTTAGTTTGTATTAAATTTAACTCAATTTTAATTACATGTATATAAATTAACATTTTTTTGAAGTTAATTTTGTCATATTTCATGGATTTATCTATAATATCCATAATATAAAATAGGGCGGTTTCAACAGACTTATCATATGGTTTAAAATTTATTCATCCAACGACCACTAACATTTTTCTCAAAATCATTCATATTGAATTTTACTCTCATTTTTTCTCTTTCAGTAGCAGAATATTTTTTTAATTATATAAACTATATATATATATATATATATATATATATATATATATATTTTGGATTAATTGGGCTCACGACAATTATTTATGAAAAACAAAATTAATTAGGTCAAACAAGTTCGGTACTAGAATAAAAAATAAAAACAAAAAATTCATACCAATATTTTAAAATTTGCAAACTAAATTGATTATTTAGAGTATTGATATGATATGTTGAAACCTCATTTGGTTCAAAAATTATGGAATACAAAGCCAAATGAGTAAAATATAGAATCTATAAAAAAATAAAAAATTATAGAATATTGTTTTTATTTGTATCAAATAAATTATATTATTGATTCTTAATGTATAGATGTAATCTTATTAATTTTTTTTAAATAGACATTTTTTATGTTTAATGAATTTTTAAGTATCAAATTTAATATAAAAAATATAAATATATCACATTATTTTTATCTATTATATTTAAAGTGTGTCAACTCTAAATTATATTTTTGGCTCTGTCATTACTCTCAGGAATCTTTACTCCTCATTTTTTTAAATTAATTAATTAATTTATGTTACACCGTGTCTTCAGACACGAATTATCCTTAATGTCTAATCCCTGATAAATTATAAAAGGTCCGACACAAATTTTTTCCAGAGAGATTGTGTTTCCTTAAAGAGAAAGTTACACTGCTTAGGTGGGCCTCTAAACGACGGAAATGCCCTTTCTATGCGACAATGCCATTGCCATTGCCATTGCGCATATTGCCATGTGTGCATTGCAATATTTCAATTTTTTTAAGAACAATGGGACCCACAAAACTATTACTTCAATACGTAATGTTAAAGTCCTCTATTTCGGCGACATTGCTGTGGTTGCCAAAAACGCCCTTTTGCTGTACATGCCGACTAGCGCTCAGTACATGGCGAACAGACTTAGTATTAGAGTCTCAATTGTGTTATATTATTTTCTTGTCATCTTATTATTTTTGATTATATTATTTTTGTGTTGTATCATTTTTAATATTTGTTTTAATAAAAAATTATTTAATTTGATAACAACTAATATAATACTATTTAAAAAATTAATTTTTTTTTATTTTTTTATCTAAAATACACGTTAAATAATTATTTTATATCTACAATACCCATTAATAGTATTATTCGTGTCGAACCTTAATTTAACTAATTTATTACTCGTGTTAATTAATCGTATTATTTTCGAGTTCATATCAGATTCAAATCAAGTCGGGTTCGTGTTAACGAAAAAAATTGATACCCCTCTTCGATATGATTCACATCCGTATGTACTAAGATTTTAAAATATTCGGTCATTTTGGGGTATCTTTTCCACCTTGCCGAGAGATGCAATGTTTGTGGCTCAGTAACCCCTCTCACCTCTCCCTTGTATGTGCTCTAATGCTCGATTTGATAGGAAGGATAAAAAGTAGGATGAAAACATTTTTTATTCTTCAAGAATGAAAAGTAGGAAGAATACATTTTCTTTCTTTTGTGTTTGATTGAATTGATGAAAAATAAAAATTACTATTTTTTTTTGTGATGTTCAAGATTATAGGTGACAATCGAATCGTGTCGTGTTAAATTATTACGGATTTGTGTCGAATATTAATCAAACCAAACTTAACTTATTTAACTAATTGTGTCGTGTCGAGTTGCGAGTTGACTTGTTTATTATCGTATACTTGCGGTTAGTCCGGAGATATATGTGATGGTGTAGAAAACTAAATGAGCTCTGTGTGAGTGTGCGTGCATAGAATAATAATAATAAGCACACAAGAAGATAAGTAATTCATATATTTTATTTTTGAATAATGCTATTTACATCTAAAAATTTAATCTAATTTATTAATTTAATAATATGACTTTATTATAACCATTAAATTAATATCAAGTTCTAAATTCTAATATTTAATGTGATCTACAATCAATTCAATAGTTACAGAAAGTTAGACCAACAAATTAAATCAATAAATTAAGTCTTAATCACATTGTTCTATTTTTTTTTAGGTTAAAATTTCTGTAATCTAATTTAGTTATTGACAGATTGAAATGAAATTGAGCCTAAAATACTTGAATTGAGTGGTTGGATGAAAAAATCAAGTAGAAATTCATTTAAAGTTTGATGAAGTAGTTGATTATAAGTAATATATTTTGTTGGACTTCGAATTAGTTGGATCGGGTCGAATTTGATGAAATATTTGATTATTACTTCCTGAAATTGTATGCATTTTCTTTCTAAAGTTTCTTCACTTTTCATAAGCTTTAATTCAGAAACAAAACGGTCACCATGGCGACCATTAATGAACTTGGAACCAGAACCATAGCCACGCCTTTGAGGATAAGGTCCAGCTCGAGGAAGGATGCCAGCTCCTCTATCATTTTGCCAACGACCACGCCCAAAACCTCTTCTCTGGTTGTCAGTATGACGAATTGGCGGCAACACTGCAAACCAAAGTGTGACAAGTCTGATAGAACTAAGAGAACATGTGGAGAGAGGGGGGGAAGCAATTCAATTACTATATATACAGCTGACATCATGCTTCCAAGAGTATGACTTGCTCAAAAAGGTTTGATTGAAAGAATAAACAAACCCTATGCTTTGTGTAACCTCATATGATGAAAAAAAAACTGAATAAGAATGCAAAGTAAATTCTTGCTTTACATTGTTAACTTAGAGTGCCTAGAAAAATATAGACGAAATGTAACTGGAGTGGAATGCTTAAGATTGAGAAGCTGGAGTGGAATGCTTAAGATTTGCACACATATACAGGGCATATAACCAAGGACAAGAAGCAATCTGCTTTGTTGAATCTCGATTAAATTTTAATACTGTTTTGAATCACTATGGAATTATAAATAAAAATACAAAGATTAAAAAGAATATCACATGATTGCAAAATCAGCCAAAACCCAAATCTAAAATTGTTACTAACTAAAATTGAGGAGATAACTAGAATCAATCTGTGAGTCAATTATGCGATGGGTTCAAGGAGAAAAAGGAGGGGGAGCAGAAGATCTACATTGATTCAAACAAACCAAAACAGAATAATGCGGTATGACTCAATTACAAGACAAATACATGCATTGGTATAAGTTTGTCACTCTGGAGAACCATCTGCTCTATTGTTCTCTCCTTTGTGCATTTGAATTCTTATTTCCCTACTATTTTGAAGTCACAAAAAAATTCCAAACATTGATCTTACTCTCATCAACGAATGACTCAATCCTTACATTCAAAAACTCAAGTGATCACTTCATCCTTTCACTCTACACATTAAAATCAAATTAAAATTCACAACCCATACAAATAAAGACTTCAACAAACCGTAGCAATAATCTCAGGACTCCTCACCACTCAGCTCAATAATACCTGTCCACTCAACATGAATCAGGACTCCTCATCCCGTTCTATTCAATGATTTTGTTAGCCATGAATTGAATTTCTCCATAGAATGAGATTAATAGTATCACAATGAGTATAATCCAAGAACCCCTTTTTTACCAATCGCAGACCTTTAAAAGCAAAGACCCAGAAAAAAATCATCAAAACCAAAAGGGTACTCTCCAATTTGAATTTCTAACCTAATAATAAAACCAATCAAAAGACAAAAAATATACAAACCCATCCACAAAATATTACTCACCGGGCACCCAAACAGATCTTTATCGTCATCATTATCGTTCTCATTATGACCATTATTGTAATTAGACCTCACTTCCCCATTATCTTTTTCTTCCTCCTCATCTTCGCCGCTGCTGTCACTTCCACTTTCGCTTCCGCTGCCGCTGCGACCACTACTTCCACTGTGATTAGACGATGAAGAAGGTGAAGAAGAGCTCCAAGTTTATACGCGAAGTTGGTGGTGTTGTACAAAAGACTGAGTCGGGAATGACTCGTTTTCGGTTCTGTCCGACTCAAAGGTGAGTAGACCTCGTACGGGAAGTGAGCTTTTTTTCCGAATAATTACAGAAAACCCCCTTATAATTAGGCGTCGTAACAGTACCATCAAAGTCCATCTTATTCCCTCCTCGTCTCAGATGTTAAAGATCTGAGTGAGCATAAATGGTTGGCGAGGTATAAAAGTCTGAGTCGAGATATGACTCGTTCCCGACTCAGTCCGAGTCAATGGTGAGTAGCAGCAGTTGGAATAATTCGTGCATAGTAATTTATTTATTTTTCTTTTTTATATGTTTTTCCGCTAATTTTCTATAACATGATAATTTATTGATATTTGGTAACAAGGTAACGGGTTTGTTTGTTTTTTTTTCCTCCCTCAATAATGACAGAAAATCCCTTTATAATTAAGTGTGTTAACATACGGTACCATTGATCATCTCTTTGTACTTTGATTTCTTATACTAAATCTCCATCAATTTATCGCAAAGACCTATAAAAAAAACCCTCATAATTTCATTGAAACTTATTTAGGTGGAGACTGATCTACAAATGAATCTTGGGTTGGGTTAAAAGAAAAAAAATTGTCAACTCTGATATTGTAATTGCAAGTTAAGAGTTATTAGTGTAATCATTGAAAATTGCTTATTGCTATCCTTAGCTATAAATATCCCTGGATTGAAAAAGAAAAGTTTTGTTCATTTATTCTTGAAGTGCAAAAACACAGTAGAATCACGTAACGTACTTGTTGGTGTGCTTCCCACTTGAGAGGAAAGAAAAAAAGAGAGAAAAAGTTCAATGGATTACCAAAAAAATACCAGGGAACGATAAAAAAAAAAAAAAAAGAAATTTCCGTAACGAAAATTATACGGGCTGTACTGACAAGATCCAACAGTGAACAGATGCCCATGAAATAGACTATTATATCCATAATAAAAATCAGGAAAAGCAAGCATGCAGAAACAAGCATACAACTATATATGGGCTCAACTTCATTTTATAAACAAGGCTACCCTGGATCACTGATATAAGAGAGAGTATTACGTAAATGAAAATACAGTGGGATGCAAGTACAACTACAAGGCATCAATATCCAACTAAACAAATGATGATCCATCTTCAGAACCCTACACCTCGGGTTGTGGGGGATACCCAATTTCAATATCTTGACCTTGATCACCAACATATGTTGCAGTTACGATGAAGTTCAAATCAGGAATATTCTCAGGGAGGATAGCTCGTGCCCACGGCATAAACTCGTTGAAAATATTAAAAACCCAAGAAGTAGTACATAAATAACGGATGATGATGAAGATCGGATACGCATACCAGAAGAGCTTCTGGGGAAAGAGAATGGAAGCCAACAGTAAGATGGAGAAAAAGGGTGAGAAATTTCCGACTCGAACATGTAATTCGCGTTGAAGATGATTGAGTGACGGAGAAGAGAGACGGATAGTGAAGGAGAAAAAGAAGAAAGTTATGGCGAGAAAAGTGAATTTGGGCCAGGTGAGATTGCTGATTATGTGAAACGGATCAGAAGATGTATGATGGCCTATGAATTTCAGGCCATTGGTCACAACGAGAAAGGTGTGCCTGAGATCGAGTTTCTGGAGGCAAGAAAACATTTTGGATGAACCGATGAAAAAAGAGGAGATGAAAGAAGAGAAGAAAAGTGGGAAAGATGGTACTGGCATGTGAAGTAAAACTTGGGTCCTATAAATAGGGGGATGTGCTTCCGAATCGATTACATCTATTTGGGTTATCTTCGTCCCGAAACTATGGAAATGCCTATGGCGCTAGACAATATTACTGTGAGTGCCATTGCCATTTATACAAAAAGACTGAAATGTCCTTTAATGTTAGACCATATTACTGCAATTCGTAATGCGAAATGACAGAAAAGTCCTTTGTGTTCGACGATATTGCATATTACTGCGATTTCGTAATGCGCAATGACAGAAAAGTCCTTTATGTTCGACGATATTGCTATAACAAGAATATGACCAAATTTCGGAGTTTAAATGACATGACATCATCATATCATATAATCAGACCTTTGTCATTTGATTTAGAGCTCTAAATTTGACCCTAAAATTTGATCAATATAACGTTACTCCTGTTGTGGCTCCCACCGCTGCGGGGTTGACTAAATATCTATTAATGTTAGACCATATGACTGGAGTCATAGAAAAAATGCCATTAGATTGTCAATTAGAAAAATTCATGTTTATATCACAATTACAAATTTGCATCTTATACTGGGGGGTTTGGAGAAGCTTTGAATGCATTGATTGAGTGCATGTAGGGATCCATTTGGTCAAGCCACGAAACAGTCAAAGGTCACTTGATTAAACAGTTCAGTTCAGTGATGGTGACGGATTAATTGGTTCAATGGGAAAAGCGGCATGCCAAAATGAGTGGAAGAAAAGGTTATAACCATATAACCAGTAATCCATTCAAGTTGAAAATGTTACACCTGATGAAGACTCTCTCTCGTTGAACCTTTGCAACGTAGAGAGAGAGAGAGAGAGACTCTTCATCAGGTATAACATTTTGAATTTCAGAAACAGTTTAAAATTGTCTTTCCAACTCAAATTGATTATTTGTAAGGAAAAAAAATGTTATTTGGACCTTATTTGGAAACCTTATTTAAAAAATTAATGATAGACCTTATTTTGGATTGATTTTGGGCTCCATCTAATATTAGAACTGACAATTAATCTAATAATTAAATTAAAATTATATTATTAAGTCCCTAAATAAAATTCTTAAATAAAATCCACGGAGTATTCCTCTTTATAAGGGATCAGGATTGGCAAAGGCCTAGTCCAACAACTATTGGGTCGTGGCCGCCCACGAGGTTTGGATATTGTGATGTTGATTGGTCAATTGGCCACGTTAATTTTTAGACTTCCCTAATAAATTTTGATAAGCTAATGGGACGGGCCATTGTTGGGCATCCTTAGAGCTCTTTAATCGGGCTAGTCCATCAGTCCTAGATGGCAAAAACATCGGCACACAACCTTACTCATTGATCTATAAGACTTCCACACTGTGGTCGGGCTGACCCATAGGCTAATGGACTTCCGTGCTAATGAATGTTGGTATTCCTCGATTTGGTTTGGTTTGGTTTTGTTTATTTGCACCGCAAAAAGTAACATATGGAGACAGTATTCTAGCCATTTAGTTTGAGCAGCATACCTTTGGACCATTACATATCCTTCTTCCTTTGCACCATTTCACCAAGAGACTTGTAGTAAGAAGATCCCAAGACATAGAAAAAGGCACAAAAAGAAGCTTATTCATGGCTAGTAAACCTTGCTAGTGTGCATCATAGGTTGTGGCTGTTCTTTTGATTTCAAGTGCCTGATTCAAAATACCATGCTTTTGTCACAAACTACGCAAGTGGAAAGAGATTTAAAATTGGTGTCTGGTGCACATAAGTTTATCCGGACACTCTGACCATTAAACATAAAAAAAAGAAAGAAGAAGATTTAACGATTTACAATAATGGCAAAGCTTATTTTTTTGATGAAATTGCCTTTTTTCTTTTCCCTATGAACAAATTGATTAAAAAATGCCTCATATGCTATTCTTTGGTTTATTAGATATCCTTCTTCCTTTTCACCATTTCACCAAGAGACTTATAGTAAGAAGATCCCAAGACATAGAAAATGGCACAAAAAAAAGCTTATTCATGGCTAGTAAAGCTTGCTAGTGTGCATCATAAGTTGCTTCTGTTCTTTTGATTTCAGGTGCCTGATTCAGAATATCATGCTTTTGTCACAAACTACGCAAGTGGAAGGAGATTTAAAGGTCAGTGTCTGGTGCACGCAAGTTGGTCTAAATACTTTGAATAAAAAAAGGAAAGGAGATTTAAAGATTTACAGCATGGACAAATATTACCAGAAAGACATATTTATCAGTTAGAGGAGGAACATGGAAATATTCATTTGAAATTAGCAGTTTTTTGAAAATACATTTAGGTTTGCTGCTTTCTTTTTTTTTAAGAACTGTGTAAGTTGTATTTGTTTTTTTAAAATTTTGCTTTGTTCGTTTTTTCCTTGTCTGGGCTTACTCCCATCTCTTAACCATAATTATAGATATAGTATATATACAATACATGTGTACAAAGAGTGTAATTTATGTATTAAAATGGGTGTAGCTCACTTTAACAAAATAGAAGTCCAACATCTTTTATTTTTTTGACGAAATTGCCTTTTTTTTTCCCCTATGAACAAATTGATTAAAAAATCCTTACTTACCTAAGCCTTTTAAGCATGAAGAAGGAGATTTTATGTAATGAACACACCCTTTATTTTAATTAAGGATGCCCCTAACTAGGGAACTCTGCCGAGCTGAAATACAGAACCTTTTCTATCATTCCAACAAGAAAAAGATCATAATATAAGAATTAAATCAAAATAAACTTTTCAAGTTTAACCAACCTTAATTTTGTACCTGGATGTCGATTTTCTCTCTTTGATTTGATGTGAATATGGCTCTGGTGTTTATTGAGGGAGGGAAAGTTGGAAGGTTGATTTTCTTTTTTTCATTTTAGGAATAGAAATATATCAGGCCTCTTGTGAGGAAGGTGGTAAAAAACAGTGAAGAAGAAGACCAAGAAGAGGTATCGAGGATGACGAAGGTGAAGAAGGAAAAGACGGTGGCGAAGATACGCACAAAAGCATGATATCTGCACATAGAAATAGAATATACACTCAAAACTATTTTCTGCATAGAGCCAATATCATAGGAGTACCAAAGCATGATAACTGCACATAGAATACAATTGAAAACAAACCAAAAACAAGCACCGAAAAAGGATAGGAAAAAGAATTAATGTACATTAACAAACAAAGAAAATAGGAAAAAATACAAAGCAAACAACCTTTACAACAACATTACCAGTACTGCACAACCCTGGAATGATAAGTTCATTCATCACTAAATACCTATATACATATACATATATATTTGCCTGCACTTGTGCTTCCACATCTGCTTCATCAATCCCCATACCTCCCTGGTTCACCTGTTGAGTCTAGAAAGCAGTGTCATGTGTTTACTAATAAACATGAAACTGTTAATCTCCCATAACAAGGGCTAGCCAACAGTAATGAAACATAACTACGTTATTCTTCCTCCTTTATAACATGGCGTTCTGATTTAACAATACCAGAAGAGTTTTTTTTAATCACTTTATACTGTGTACCCATCCCTCGTTTTGCTCTCATTATTAACTTACTAACTCTCCAGCCAAGACACCAAAGGCTTACTTATATACTCTCAATCTCCCCTCCCTCTGACCGAAAAATATTTTGCTTTTTAAACAGGCTTTCATGTTGTTTGAGCAACTTATAGGGAGTAAAAATTGTGCTTCATACTTGCTCTTTATTTACCTTGGAGAAAGAAAAAATTCTCTCCATGAGTCAAGAAATCCTTTCAAATGACCCTGACAAAATGTATAACCTTCTTATGTATGACAAAATGTATCACCTTCTATATAAGGCTGAATATTAAGGCGTGATCACCTGTTGTTGACAGATCAAGAGCCCCATGGCTGGAACACTTACATCTTAGTGTTCGATATTCGTTACTATTTAGTTGAAGAAGATAAACAAAGAGGTGCTTACTTGAATACCCCAATAATAGGTTACAAATAAGTAGCACCATTCAAAGGATCAGCAGTTACCTTGTCAAGATTGTTACAATATGTCTGCAGGGGACAAAAAAGGGCATGAAAAAAGTAATTAGTATCCTTAAAGGATATCCTTAAACTTATAAAAGTAAGAGATCATACCATCTTACCACAAAATGCATATTTTGAAGTGGGATAGTGATATAGATTGTAGTAAGAATGATTTGGGAATGAGAAGAGAAAAAGAAGGAGATGAGAATAGAGAGAGAATTTTAGGAAGAAGATTCAATATCAATAATTAATAATCAAAGTCTAATCTCCAAAAAATATGTATCCCCTATATATATAAGGAGTTCACAAATCCTATATATATAAGGAGATTACAAACCCTAAAAAAAATAAATAATCCAAATGACAACTAAATCCTTAAAATTTAAAAAAAATTACTTAAACGATAAATATTAAAAGTATCTAAATAACTATCATAATTAATCTATCATATCTATCCAATTCCTATATTCAAATAACTATCATAATTAATCTATCATGTCTATCAAATTCCTACACGATCCCCATCATTCTCCTCCGGTTGAAAAAAACTCTTCTCCGGAGAGTCTTCAAAGTAGAAGTACCCCAAGAGAGTAGGATGAAGATGACATAATATCTCATCTAGAATGAAAGAACCGTCAATATCTTTCCATCGATCAGAATAAATGCAAGAATCTTCATTTGTAGCAATGTAAATATGGTCATGTAACACATCATTTATTTGCCTTGAAATACGCGATAAAAATGGAAAGATAAGAGCTGGAGCTAATGCTGAGGAAAAAACAATTCCACCTGTAGAAACACCTTATAACAATATAGGAGGCTCTGGAGTACCTCGATTAATTAGCATGTCCTCCAAATAAAAATCTGGACTAATATTAACATTTAATAGAAAATTAAGCAAATAAGCATTAGATCCAAACTCAAGAATAGCAAAACAATTCCCATTAGATTTGAACAAAAGACATTCAATGGGATAAGAAATCAATGACAAGGGAGTAACTATAACTCCCTGGTCCTGAAAATAAGAAAGTACAGACTTAATTGAACACTTGACTGTAGGTAAGGAAACAAAGTTAACACAGTCAAGTGGGACAGAACCCAGAACAACGTCAACAATCTTAGGTTGGGAAGAATTCGTAGCAAAATTATGACGACTTGGACAAGTAGACACAGAATAGTCACTAGTAGATTCTGCAATAAATGACTCGATTGACTTAATATCTTGCGTAGGTGTAGACATAACTGACTTTTCCAAAATTTCCATGACCAATGATGGTTCAAGAATTGACACAAGCAAAGACTCACACACACTTTCTTTCGATATGAACTCTTGAGGGTGCAAAGGAGGAAGACTCTGATCTGATGAAATTGAAGGAGGGAGTTGGAAGTCAATATGAGTAACATTTTTCTCTTTATCCGATACTAGCATATCTAAATTCTTTGCCACATTCGAATTAGAAAAGCATGCAGAAGCAACATGGACATCATTCAAGTAATCGTGATACTCATATGTTGTGGAATTAAAATTGGAAGGTATCTTTTCACGCTGTTTAGCAGACTGTGATTGAAAACCCATCAAACTATAGTTGGATTTCTTATGAAATCTCTCAACCTTTAAAGCATATTAATAAGCTGTAACTATCGTATTAAAAGTGCATAGTTCGACCTCCCTATTAATTTTTGGTCTCAACCTAAGAATAAACTGATCAATTGTCCAAGGTTTTCCAACAATATCACACAAGTACATGAGATAATCGAACTGGGCGGGGGCAAAATAATCAGAGACACTAGAAGAATGTTGTCTAAGATTGAGTCATTGGTCATAAAATTGATTCATGTAGGAAGTAGGCAAATATTTCTCTTTTAATTTATATCTCATTTCAACCCAAGTGATAGGTGATTCTCCTACGGGGTCTAGGTTTATTTGAATTGTTTGCTAATACTTTTTGGCAGAACCCTCCAACATCAATTTAGCAAAACGGACGCAATGGGAATCCGACATGCTATGCCAATTAAAATATTCTTCTAAATTAGCTAACCAATTCAAGAATTCAAAATGATCTAAAATGCCACTAAATATAGAAGGATCTTTGACTCGTTTGGTCATATGGGTTGACTCCATGTAAACATTCTTAAACTTCCTATGATGATGACATTGAGGAGAGATTCTTGAAACATGCGCATTAGAGAAATTCATGAGTGACTCTTGGAACAAGGGAATGACACCAAAACAAGTTCAAGAATGTAATTGACAAATAATTTGGATCCTTTGCAAATTTTTTTAATTTTTTCAATGAATAAAAATATCAGTTTCAAATTTTTGTAGGAGTATGCATACCATAATCAAGAGAAAATTCTGAAACTTTTTGGGGATGATTCTGCAATTTTATGGATCTGTTGGGAATATTTTCTGTAATTTTGGAACTCCTGGGGGAAAGATTTTGTAATTTCTGAAACTTTTAGTGGTGATTCTATAATTTTTGAAATTTTTTGATGGTGGTTTTGCAACTTCTGAAAATTTATGAAAACCTCTTAGGATGTGTCTGCAATTTTTGAGACTTATGGGAGATGTTTCTGTAATTTGCTGAATATGCTGGTAGCTGTGGATCAAAACTTAACCCACCAGGCCACTGCTACAGCGACGAAATCTGATAATTTTTTTTTTGGTTGGCTGGCTTTGTTTTTTTTTCCACTGATGAACAGTACAAGCATGAACAGTAACTTCGTTTTTTTTTTTTGAATCGAAATTGGGCTTTGATATCAAATTGATGTAGATCGTAGTAAGAAAGATTAAGAGATGAGAAGAGAAGAAGGAGAAGATGAGAAAAGAAGAATAAGAGGATGAAAATAGGGGAAGAATTTTAGGAAAAAGATTCAATATCAATAATCAATAATCAAAGTCTAGTCTCCAGCAAATATGTATCCCCTATATATATAACGAGTTCACAAATCCTACATATATAAGGAGATCACAAACCCTAAAAAAAATAAATAATTCAACTGACAACTAAACCCTTAAAAGTTAAAAGAAATTACTTAAACGATAAATATTAAAAGTATCTAAATAACTATCATAATTAATCTATCATATCTATCCAATTCTTACACGATCCCCATCAGATAGTTTTGTCTCTTATGCAACCGAGAAGGTCACCAAACCCCTGAGAACCCAAATCTAGGGTAACGAGAGAAAAACACAAAATGGGTTGGTTCTTGCAAAATTGAGAAGAAACAAGCTCCCATACAGTAAACATTTAATTAGGCAGCATATTTCTTCATTCATTCACTACTCAGTCTGAAGAAATACCTTGCTTTTCAATGAAAGTGTCGAAACCTTCATTCAGGTCGGCTCCAACATCTTCAGTAATAAGCCATTTAAAAAGCCTCTGACGATGGGAAATGTGTAAATAGATAAAACCAGTACCAAATTATCTTTGTGGAGATACTAGAAACAAAAATCTCAACAGAAAGAAGGCTCACCAAACTGCGATCATCAAAGTACACATCCCCACCTTCTGCATGACTATAGCAAGCAAGTTCGCACGGCTGTATTGCATCATATACAGTTTAGAATGCATTAGAAGGCACACCACAAATATGTTATTGGAAAACAAAATAAACATGTATCAGTCACACATTACTGTCATTACATCTAATCACCAACTCCTCCATAAGCTTAAACCTAGAAAGGGGTTGGTGATGTACTGCACGAGCCCCTGACAGGTGTGGCCTCTCATAACAGGTCATCCATGTGAAAACTAATGACATAAACCGTTATGCACTTCTAAGCCTTTAGAATAGTAAGTTGTTGAGATGAACAAGAATTACTGACCTAAACACATGATACATTCACAGAGGAAAGGATTTCACATGCATTAACTAGAAGAGCAACGGGGTTAACAAGCTCCAGACAATGCAAAATCCCATATGATTTTTAATCCATCTATTTTTCTGAAACTTAATTTTCTTCTTCTTCTTAACTATTACTCAGACTACCAAAAAAAGGACAAAAATAGTATTGCCATCTGACAAGTTTGTAGATGATCTGTGTGGTACTAACAGAAATGAGAGATATGAGGACCGTGATCCCGTGACCTTACTACCATAGGATTCATAAATTAACTTTTAAGAGGACTTGGTAGGCCACAAAACTTGAAAGAACAAAAAGAAGGAGAAATAAACTTACTTCCTGAAATTGTATGCATTTTCTTGTTAAAGTTTCTTCACTTTTCGCAAGCTTTAATTCAGAAACAAAATGGTCATCATGACGACCATTAATGAACTTGGAACCATGACCATAGCCATGCCTTTGAGGATAAGGTCCAGGTCGAGGAAGGATGCCAGCTCCTCTATCATTTTGCCAACGACCACGCCCAAAACCTCCTCCCTGGTTGTTAGAATTACGAATTGGTGGCAACACTGCAAACCAAAGTGTGACAAGTCTGATAGAAATAAGAGAACCTGTGGAGGGGGGGGGGGGGTGAGGCAACACCAATTACTATATATACAGCTGACATCATGCTTCCAAGAGTATGACTTGCTCAAAAAGGCTTGATTGAAAGAATAAACAAACCCTACGTTTTGTGTAACCTTATATGATGGAAAAAAAACTGAATAAGAATGCAAAGTAAATTCTTTCTTTGATTAACCAAAGCTTAGAGTGCCTAGAAAAACATAGATGAAATGTAACTTCTTGAGAGATAAGGACTTAAGGAGTTTGCAATAAGTGGCATAATAAAGGTGCTGGTTAGGAGATCATAATTATTGCTACAATATTGGATGGATAGTTCATAACTACATGCAGATGCTTAAAAGCGTTTCCATAGAACCAGCTAAGAATGAACAAAGTACATTTCTTTTTTATCTCCTTTTTTCTTTAGTTTTGAGAAGCTGGAGTGCAATGCTTAAGATTGCACACATATACAGGGCATATAACCAATGACAAGAAGCAATCTGCTTTGTTGAATACCGATTAAATTTGAATTCTGTTTTGAATCACTATGGAATTATAGATAAAAATACAATGATTAAAAAGAATATCACAGGATTGCAAGATCAGCCAAAACCCAAATCTAAAATTGTTACGAACAAAAATTGAGGAGATAACTAGAAACAATATGTGAGTCAATTACGCGAAAAATACATTGCTCCAAAACAAACCAAAATAGCCTAATGCAGTATGAGTCAATTACAAGACAAATATATGCATTGGTATAAGTTTTTCACTCTGGAGACACATCTTGTCTGCTGTTCTCCCCTTTGTGCATTTGAATTCTTATTTCCCTACTATTTTGAAGTCACAAAAAAAATCCAAACCAATTTGTTCATCTTATTATTCTTCTTCTTTTTTCTCTTTTTAATTGAAACTGCAGAATTAGGAAACAAGCATTGATCTTACTCTCATCAACGAATGACTCAATCCTTACACTCAAAAACTCAAGTGATCACTTCATCATTTCACTCTACACATGAAAATCAAATTAAAAGTCACAACCCATACAAATAAAGACTCCAACAAACCGTAGCAATAATCTCAGCACTCCTCACCACTCAGCTCAATAATACCTGTCCACAAATCATGAATCAGGACTCCTCATCCCGTTATATTCAATGATTTTGTTAGCCAAGAATTGAATTTCTCCATAGAATGAGATTAGTAGTATCACAATGGGTATACTCCAAGAACCCCTGTTTGACCAATCGCAGACCCTTAAAAGCAAAGACCCAGAAAAAAATCATCAAAACGAAAAGGGTACTGTGCAATTTCAATTTCTAACCTAATAAAAAACCCATCAAAAGACAAAAAATACTCAAACCCATCCACAAAATATTCCTCACCGGGCACCAAAAAAGGACTTTTCGAAGGGGTTTTACAGTGTTCTTCATTATCAGACCCAAACAGATATTTATCGTCATCATCATCGTTCTCATTATGACTATTATTGTAATTAGACCTCACTTCCCCATTATCTTCGTCGTCCTCCTCCTCTTCGCCGTCGCTGCCACTTCCACTTTCGCTTCCGCTGCCGCTACCACTGCCGCTGCGACCACTACTTCCACTGTGATTAGACGATGAAGAAGGTGAAGAAGAGCCTGAAGATGACGAGGATGGTGTAGATGATTGGTGGGTCTGTTGTTTTTCTTCGTTTTCCCCTTGGCCTTCGTCGTTTGAGTAGTCTCCATCCCCGAATATGTCTATCTCTTGCTCCGCAAAGTCCATCTTCTTCGCCCTTTGCCCCAGATGGTAAGGATCTGAGAGTGGGAGTGTGTATCTCTGGAAACGGTTTGATCTCTCTGCGTGGGTCAGAGCTCCAGGTTAATACGCGAAGTTGGTGGTGCTGTATAAAAGACTGAGTCGGGAATGACTCGTTTTCGGTTCGGTCCGAGTCAAAGGTAAGTCGGCCAAGTAAGGGGAGTGATCGAGTGAGTTTTTTTTTCCGAATAATTACAGAAAATTCCCTTATAATCAGGTGTCGTGACAGTACCATTAAAGCCCATCTTATTCTCTCCTCGTCTCAGATTTTAACGATCTGAGTGAGAATATATGGATGGTGAGGTATAAAAGTCTGAGTCGAGATATGACTCGTTCCTGACTCGGTCCGAGTCAAGGGTGAGTAGCAACAGTTGGATTGATTCGTGGTTAGTAATTTATTTATTTTTCTTTTTTATATGTTTTTCGCTTATTCTCAAAACATGATAATTATTGATATTTGGTAACAAGGTAACGGGTTTGTTGGCTTTTTTTTTAACTCCCTCAATATTTACCAAAAAATCCCTTATAATTAAGTGCATTAACATACGGTACCAATAATCATCTCTTTGAAGTTTGATTTCTTACACTAAATCTTCGTCAATTTACAATGGAAATATATAATTGGATGTTTCTCACATAAATCTATACAAAAATTAAAAAAAAAACCTCATGGGACATCTATCATATTTTCTAGAACCACCCAACATGGTGCTCTCTCTCAAACCTACAAGTGTCAAAATGACACTAAATCTACAAGTGTCAACATCGTGTTTGAAGTTTGATTTCACACACTAAATCTTTGTCAATTTACAATCGAAATATGGGTATTATAACTCAGGAAGAATCTCATTTTGCATCCAGAATTCTGACACAATTTTTTTCCCCAGAAAGAAAGATACAGTGCTTAGGTGGGCATCTAAACGACGGAAATGCCCGTTGTGTGCGACAATGCCATTGCCATGTGTGCATTGCAATATTCCAATTTTTTTAAGAACAATGGGACCCACAAATTATTACTTCAATACGTAATGTTAAAGTCCTTTATTTCGGCGATATTGCTGTTGCCAAAAAGTCCAATTGCTATATAGTTTGCTGAATAGGCTCAGTACATGGCGAACAAAATTGACAATTGTGTGGTGATATTTTTGATCGTCGAATTTGTGTTAAAAGGCAATTCATGGGACATCTATCATATTTTCTAGAACCACCCAACATGGTGCTCTCTCTCAAACCTACAGGTGTCAAAATGACACTAAATCTACAAGTGTCAACATCGTGTTTGAAGTTTGATTTCACACACTAAATCTTTGTCAATTTACAATCGAAATATGTAATTGAATGTTTCTCACATAGATCTATACAAAAATTAAAAAAAAACCCTCATAATTTCATTGAAACTTATTTAGATGGAAACTGCTGAAACTAATCTACAAATGAATCTTGGGTTGGATTAAAAGAAAAAAAATTGTCAACTCTGATATTGTGATTGCAAGTCGAGAGTTATTAGTGTAACCATTGAAAATTGCTTATTGCTATCCTTAACTATTACATGGGGATTTCTATAAATATCCCTTGTTTTGAAAAAGAAAAGTTTTGTTCATTTATTCGTGAAGTGCAAAAACACACTAGAATCTGGTGTGCTTCCTGCTCGAGAGGAAAGAAAGAAGAGTGATAATCGCCAGTAAAGTACTAACATGAAACTACAACGTGATACAAGTTATACAACTACAGGGCTTGAATATCCAACTGAATAACTCCATCTTCAAAATTATCTGACTCTTCCTGTTGGGGATACGGATACGCCATTTCAATCTCCTGACCAGCTTGATGAATCTGGGTGGCTTCTTGGTTTGGGCCAACAGCACACGTCGCAGTGATGATACAGTTCAAAGCATGAATATTCTCACAGAGATTATCTTGTGCCCACAACAGAAAGCTCATGAACAGATTGGAAAGCCTAGTAGAACAAAACGAAAGGAAGATGATAATCGGATACGCGTACCAAAAGAGCTTCTGGGGAAAGAGAAGTGAGGCCACCAATAAGATGGCGAAAGTGGGTGAGAAAGTTCCGACTCGAACGTGTAATTCGCGTTGAAGATGATTGAGTGAAGTAGGAGAGAGGGGGACAATGAAGGAGGTGAAGGAGAAGAAGAAAAAAGTTATGGCGAGAAAAGTGAATTTGGGCCAGGTGAGATTGCTGATTATGTGAAACGGATCAGAAGATGTCTGATGGCCTATGAATTTCACGCCATTGATCACAACGAGAAAGGTGTGCCTCAGATCGAGTTGCTGAAGGCGATGAGACATCTTGGATGAACTGATGAAACAAGAGAACAAGAGAAGAAAAGTGGGAAAGAAAGGTGTTGGCAAATTAAGTTTACACCACTGGGGTCCTATAAATAGGGAGAGAGCGAGCGAGAGGAAGAGAATAAGTCCATAATGTCGCGGCGAATGCCCCGGTGGACTGTGTACCATGGCTGTCGTATTTAACAAAAGCTAAAGTGTTTTTTTTAATCACTTTATACTGTGTTCCCCAATCCTCTTTCGCTCTCTTAAAGCAACAAGAGCGAAAAGGACGTACAAGGTAACCAGCCAACACGGTGCNCCAGGATGATCCTTCACAAGGGGAACATCAACGCATCAACCCCTTAAGGGACATTACTAAATGGGACAAGCATAGCCAAACTATGGGCAACACCCATTGTTGAGCCCATAGGAACAAAGACAATGATGAGGTACAAAGTCAAAATAGGAAAATTCATAAAAATGAATTTCCCTCATTCCAGCAGNTCTATCTCTCAACATGAAGATGCTTTGCCCGTTGACTGGAGCGTACGCCAGTCACGTTCCAAGACGATGACGGTTAAGGCTATGACTAGTACCACCACTAGGGCCAGCCCCACCACTCCGCTTTCATGGAGTGGCGCCGAATCTCTCAGCGGCGGTGCTGGTGGTGGAAGTGCAAGTGGAGGCACCGTCGATGGCGGTTTCGAAGAGTCCAGCCGTCCTCTTCACAAACGCTCACACACAACAAGATCTAAGGTTTGTTTATGCCGACTTTCTCTCTTCTCTTCTTCCGTGGCGATTTTCTTTCAGTTCTAAAGTCGGCGGAATCACTTTTCCGGTTTCCGGCGGTAAAATACTCAGCTGGATGGCGGTGGTTTGTCTCCTCGTTCGCCGACGACTGATTCATTCAAGTCTCGTGTCATTTGAAGCCTTTTCTGTTCTGACTAAAATACCCCTCGACGTGTACGATATTTGCTGCGATGCGTTCAGTGCATGTCAGATGACACTTGTAGAAAAGTAAAATGTCTTCATCAACCTGTCACCGTTTAGTTAGTTTCTAAATTGACAGAAATACCCTCCTGCCATGGGATAATACTCGCAAACTACCGAGACTACTTCTGTCATTTCATCAAGTCCGACAGATCTCACCGCTGATGATCTGACCGTCGTTCGTTGATCCGTTTTCGCCTTTTTTTGACCAAACTACCCTGTCAATACTTTTTCGTCTCTATCACTTGGACCTTCCATTTACACATAAGTATATGATGAATAAAATACTGAATAAAAAGTTTTTCTTGCAAAGACAAAAAGTTTCATATATGCGTAATGTTATCTTTATATTTGAAAAGACTAATGGTCTATTAATGGAGTTTGTGAATACATTATTAACAACGATAATAATTCATATATATTTTTTAATGGTAATGTAGTCAATTAATTTTTTTTATAGATATTGATATTTATACAAAGATATTAGAGAATACAAACAAATGTCAGAGGGTAATTTGGAGATTTAAGTACATAAGAATATAATTGTAATTTAGATATTTAACCATGAAAAGATAGTGTGATATTTAAACTTTTTTATAAGGGTTAAATAGTGAATCAAAAGTTTTTCACTTATGATACTTTTATTAGTAGTATTGATATAGATAAATATTGATACTTTTTTAATTCCCTAGTATGAATTGAGTTGAGTTTTGATGTTTTTTGCTATGAATTGGGTTGAGTTGATGAAGTGAGTCGATGCATTGGGTTGTACTGGGTTGTGTTCCAATGGGAGTCGCGGTGCGCAATGGTCTGTGTTGGGTTCATGAATTAAAATTTTTCCATCAGATGTTTAGCGAGTTGTTAACGAATGATCTGTGTTAAATTGGGCCCAGTTGACGCCACGTGCGCCCACCGTATGTACTAAGATTTTAAAATATTCGGTCATTTTGTGGTAAGTTCCTTTTCCACCTTGCCTTGAGATGCAATGTTTGTGTCTCACTAACCCCTCTCGCGCCCTCCCTTGTACGTACTCTAACTAAAAAAAGAAAAATAAATTTAATCCTTAAATAATATAAATTACAGTAAGTAGTTCATTTCATCGAAGAAGTTCATAACACTTGTTATTCGATTTGTCGCTCTAAACTGTTTCACTTCAAAGAGAGAAATTAGATAAAAAGTACTTATTATTACAATTTAAGGATTGAATTAAGGCAATTCATGGGACATCTATCATATTTTCTAAAACCAGCCAACATGGTGCTCTCTCTCTCTCTCTTTCTCAAACCTACAAGTGTCAAAATGACTTAAAAGGTAAAACAATTAACTAGGAAGTTTCTTCAGCGCATGAATCATGAGTCAAAACCTCAAAAAAGAAAAAAGGAATGTTGCATTTGTAGGTGAATTAATATAAGTAATGTTATTTGGACTTAATTTAGGGATTTAATTCAATATTATTATTAGATTTATAGTGAATTCCACCTAATATTGGAACTCAAAACTAATTTAACAGTTATATGAAATTAAATCTCCAAATTAAGTTTAAATACTATTTTTCATAAAATATTAACTAATCACGCCAGCATGAGAGAGAGAGAGAGAGAAACGGAGATTGTATCTCCATCGTGTAGAATATTTTCAATTAAGGTCGGTTCATTTGCAATCTTGTTCTCCACACAGAAGGTGCAAATGGTCCCCAGGTGCCCAAGAGTGACACTTCTTTTATTTTATAAAAATAAGTGGGGGCTTATATGTATATTTTTATAAAACAATTTGGTGTATCTATTATTGGATAAAGTTCCTTTCCGAGTGGTCAGCGGTATGACTTTTCTGTATATGGATCATTTAAAATTAACTAAATACTTTAGAGATAAAATTGATAAAATTAATGCAATGAGGATCAAATTGACAAAATATGCAACTTTTAGTGACTAAAAATGCTATTAACCCTAAAATAAAATATACTACTCTCTATATATATTTTAAAAGAATATTAAAATTCTAAAATTCAAATTTTATTTAAAAATACACTATAATTTTTTTTTATATAAATTCTTAATAAAACATGAAAATTTAAAAATTCTTAATAAAACATGACCTATAATTTTGCCTTTTTTCTTTTCCCTATGAACAAATTGATTAAAAAATGCCTCATATGCTATTCTTTGGTTTATTAGATATCCTTCTTCCTTTTCACCATTTCACCAAGAGACTTATAGTAAGAAGATCCCAAGTCATAGAAAATGGCACAAAAAAAAGCTTATTCGTGGCTAGTAAAGCTTGCTAGTGTGCATCATAGGTTGTGGCTGTTCTTTTGATTTCGGGTGCCTGATTCAAAATAGCATGCTTTTGTCGCAAACTACGCAAGTGGAAGGAGATTTAAAAATCGGTGTCCGGTGTACGTAAATTGGTCTAAACACTCTTAACCGTTGAACCAAAAAAAAGAAAGAAGGAAATTTAAAGATTTACAGCATAGGCAAATATTACTAGGAGAAATATTTATCAGTTAGACGAGGAACATGAAAATATTCATTTGAAATTAATGTTCTGTTTGATAAATTTTTTTGAAAATAAATTTAATTTTGCTGCTTCTTTTTTTTTTTTTAAAGAACCTTGTGTAAGTTGATTTTGTTTTTTTTAAATTTTTGCTTTGTTCGTTTTTTCAAGACTCATGGTACCATAGTCAAGTCCCTCTTAGAAAAAAAAAGTATTTGGGATTCCAACTTTATTCTGATCAGAAGGAGATCTAAACCCTAGATAGCCAGCTTGCACGCCCGAACTCGTATCACAGTCTTTTATCAACAAGAAAGATTATTTTCGGTGATGACTTTATATGCTCTTTGATTGTCAGTCAAAAGCACATACAACATATATTCCACAAGTTTACTCTTTAAAAATGGTGATACAGTTAAAATAAATGAAAAATTACTCTTTTGTTTCATGTTTGGTTGAATCTATTGAAAATCGATAGTTAATATAAGATTTTTAATTATGTAGAACCTATTGACATTTTTTTAGGGGAGAGGGGGACTTGAACCTATTGAAACTAGTTATTACAATGTAAATCATAATATCAATTATTTTTTCATAAAATAAAGAAATTTATTTTAAATAGTTAAACATGGTATTGCACAAATGACTCATGGTATAATATGTTCAATCAATGTTTGATAGATAGATAAGAGAAATTCAAAATCATAATTTAAGAATATTTCCAATAATTTTGAAAAGTTGAGAGGAGGGTGTAAATTGAAACAAAAAACTAAATTTTAGTGAGGGAGGCTGAAAATTTTTTGAAGGTAGAAAAATAAAGAGTAAACTACATATATAATCTTCAAACTATGTTATTTGTGTCAATTAAAATCCTAATTTTTTTTTTGTATTAATTGAGTCCTTAAACTTCCTAATTATATCAATTGAGTTATTTTGTTTGCTTCGTTAGAGTGCGTCACTTCCGTCACCATTATGGCACAAAAAAATAAAAAAGTTTAATTGACCCAATTAGAGAGTTTAAGGGCTCAGTTGACACAAAAAAAAAATTAGGGGCTTAATTGTTGATACAAGGTTTATAGTTTAAGGATCATATGTATAGTTTACTCTGACCATGTGTCACATGAGTGACAGACAAAATGACTCAATTGACACAATTAGAGAGTTAAATGACTCAATTGATATATATATATATATATAAAAAAGGCTTACGGGTTTAATTGACAATTGAGTCATATGTGTAATTTAATCTAACCATTTGTGTCACATAAGTGGCACATTTCGTCATTGTCTATTAGAAAATCCAATAGATTCAAATTAGAAGGCTAAATTAACAAAATGAGAGAGCTCAGGAACTCAATTGGTAACAATCTAGCACAAATTGTTAAAAAGAAACATTTGCAATTTTCTTCCTCTATTAGTATTTCTCCCCAACAATCAATCACTTGAGTAATAACACGACTTTGTTAAATAAAAAAATTCAAGTATTCCATAATTTGTTTAAATTTTCAAGACTCATGGTACATTACATTGTTGTGCAACTCTTCCCCATCCATGAATTTCAATACATCATTAACTTCAATGATATTTTTATACTTTTTTCTACTCCATAAAGTTACCCTTTTAATAAAAAATAGTACATGTTAATAAAAAAGGGTATAAACAATAAAATATATAAAATTTGTTTTAAAATGGGATATTAAGTTACTTTCTTTTTTCCCTCAGCCTTATGCATTCGAACCAATTTGTTGTACACATTCGTTCCTACCTTCTTGCAGGCTTTCCATCTTCGAGCTTCAACTCGCTTATTTTTTGGCTTCTCATTTGACATTGTAATATCCAAATCATCAACATCAATACAACTATCTTGTATCTTCTTCTTCCCTTTATTTTTATCGTCTTGATCCTGGATTTCAACTTGTTCTAATCTTTTTTTTTCTCCTTTTTTTTTCTTACTATACTCAAAATCTTCATCTCTCTTTCTTTCCGTTTGATTTTTCTCACCATCGATGTTTGTTGTACACCTTCGGTGGTCTGATGTTTTGGTGGAGCCCGGGGATACTTTTGAGTAACGACATGCACAACCATATCAGCGACAACATCATGCAGGGAATTGTTTTCTTTTTCTAATTCGGACACCCTTCATGTCAGTGTCTTAATTTGCTCTTCTTGTGTTTCTTTGTTTTTCTCTAAGAGATTAACTAAAACCTTGAATTGTGAAATTTGGTTGTCCCTATCAACAAGTTTCATCACATATTCTTCAATCTCTTTCAAATCTTCCTTCCTTTGGTTTCTCCCAATATTCTTGATAACCGTTCGAAGTACTTCGTTCTCCACAGTCAGCATTTGGATAGTAAATTTTTGCACCTCATTCTCAACATTCAAACAAGACATACCTTCATTCTCATGGGAAGGTTGTTGTGAATTTTTCTTATGTGTTACCACTTCGT